GTGAGATAACAACTGAGCCGATCGCGGTATGAGTTCAAACTACGAAAACACTGACAAAAAATAGGCAGTCAATGACTGCATGTGGCTACTGTTGTTATTGTTTAGAACATTTCAGTAAAAATCATATTGCAATAAAACGAGCTAAATACGAAAACCTTTTTGGACTGGTAGCTCATTAAAAACATGCGATTTGTTTCTTGCGAAATATGTCGATCTCCAAATTTGTAAAGATAAGACTTTTGGTAACTTGAATTAAATATCTTACCTCCAAGTTAGCTGGCTCTCTAGTAGGGTGCAGGAAAAAAAAATAACGTGTGATTTTTGAGGCAAATTGTGCGGGAAAATTAGAACCTCTATTGTGCGGGGAATTGTGCGAGATTATTGACGAACCAATGTTTTTGCCAAGTCCTCAGGAAAATCTGCATTGACGATAGTTTAGCCAGATTTATTTCACTGGTGGTTCACATATATTTAGCAGTTTTAGAAATCGTCAATTCTTTTAGAAAACTGTGTCTGACTGCTTACGAAAATCATGTTGCGTGACATCAACTAGACGAGTATGAAACCAAATTAAATAGAAAAACAGAATGCCGGATCTGCCCTTATAAATGAGTTCCTTTTTGAAAATACTCCTGCCTTGATTCAATAAAAATTGTAGGTTAAATNGTCTGACTGCTTACGAAAATCATGTTGCGTGACATCAACTAGACGAGTATGAAACCAAATTAAATAGAAAAACAGAATGCCGGATCTGCCCTTATAAATGAGTTCCTTTTTAAAAATACTTCTACCTTGATTCAATAAAACTTGTAGGTTAAATATTTCTTCATAAACTGCGTTAAGGGTCGCAAATGTTCGGAAGTTATCCGCAAAAAACACAACTTAAAAGTTTATGCAAATTAAGTGCAATGCAATTTGCGCCTTGCCCTAGGACTGTTGTTTTCGCGAAAGAGTTAATCTATTCGCTCTCCAAAGGAGATAAGACTCTTGAAAAGGGTTTAGGATCGCAACACGGTAAAGATGTCCAGCTGCACAATTCACTCGGATCGCCACGACTAGTAAATAAACTTCGTAAAATTTCTGCTAGCATGTACGATGTAATCGCCATAAGTTGTAACTAAAAAGACCTGGAAAATTCTTTGCAAACAAGTTCTCCATAAATGCGTAGACAGCTGTGATTCGTTCTTGAACCAAAATTGTTTAAACTCACAACTTACGATTGGATTAGGAGGATACTCAATGAAGAAACTTGAATGGCAAATATCTAAGCGGAACTGTTGTGCTTAAGTATCCTGATTGTTTGTTTTCATTGTGTCCAATATGCGTTTTAAATTCGTAAAGTACCATTTGATACTGCGGTACGAAGAACGAGTAAACGCTCATAGAGCGTCTAGTTATTCATATTTGTTGAAATTATCTCACAAACTACTAAGAATCGCTTGACTTTTTCTACGGAAAGAAAGAACCCTGGAAACTTTTTGCGAATTCGATGATCGGAAAAAAAACAGCGAACATTGATCAGTCGAATCATCACCATCATTTCAGCAGGGTAAAACAAAACTGGAAATAGTCACACATCAGACATATGCTTTCGACATATATTGGACTAATTAACCTTTAAATGCGAGAATGTGCTCGGTTTTGTTCAGTGTATAGCTCTTTTACTGATCTGATTTAATCTACTCGGACACTTTGAAATGGATTCATAAGTGTGCCAGAGAAAACTTAGTTGACTTTGTGGCTGCCTTTGCTAGTAATGACGTTTAAATTTTGATATTGGCCTTAATTTGGTTTTTGTTGTTGTTTGCCTTTGTTGGGGTATCTATTTGCTAAAAAACCAGTACTGTTTCTTCTTTTTCCGTTCTTTTGGAATGGGTGTAGTGTTACAATCTAATTACCCTTTTAGTTCCCTAAATTTGGTGAGCATCTTGTATGTATGATTAGAGCACTCATTCCCATCAGTCTGGTTTCAATTTAATTTAGATAGGAAACCAGGCGTCATATGTGGTTAAGTTTCTTGTCTAGTCCTTGCTCAGGCAACGCGATTCCAAACCAAAACAGCTCTGACTACTCTCAGAGTTAGGCAAGTGAAGTTGTAATTGCGTCTTGAGTGCGCGCAAAAGCGCCAAAAGTGCAAATTTGTCTCAAGACTTTTGTCCATCATTGTATGTTAGAGGACGTTCGACAGAATATTACTACTCTAAATAACTAAAAAGCTTGATTTGTGTTATTTTCATTAGGGTACATAGAGGACGACGCCATGAACAATATAGACGACATTTTACAAGCCATCTTTATTGGCTTGGTTGTTGCTACTTTCCTTCTGAACACTGGTCGTGCTCTAAAAGGCATTGAGGTCTGCAAGGAATGTTTGATCTTCCTAAATAAGAAAGTGCTAAAAACGAAAGCAGAAATGTTCAATTCACTCCATATCCGTATCTATATAACAATCTTCAGGGCGTACTGTCTTATCCCTGATCATAAAAAAGCACTAATCTACGGCAGAAAACTTCTTGACATTTTCCGCAAGCGTGGTAATAAAGATGAGGAAGGGATTCTCACGGTAAAACTGGCCGACATGTATCGACAGCAGTGTAAATACCTAAAAGCAAGAGAACTTTATGAGAAAGCAATTAATATCACAAAAGAAATTGGAGACAAAAAGAATGAGGCATACACTGATGAAGAGGTTGGAATTATATCTTATTATCTCAGTGACTACGACAAAGCTAAAGAATATCTTGTGAAAGCACTTGCCATCAGAATACAAATTGGTGACAAACAGGGAGAAGCCAGATCGTGCGGAAACTTAGGAACTGTGTTTACATCTCTTGGTGATTATGACAAGGCTAAAGAATATCTTGAGCAAGCACTTGCCATCAGAATACAAATTGGTGACAAAATGGGGGAGGCAGCAAATTACGGAAACTTAGGAACTGTGTTCACATCTCTTGGTGAATATGACAAGGCTAAAGAACATCTTGAGAAAGCACTTGCCATCAACATACAAATTGGTGACGAACAGGGAGAAGCCAGCTCATACGGAAACTTAGGAACTGTGTTCAAATATCTTGGTGAATATGACGAGGCTAAAGAATATCTTGAGAAAACAATTGCCATCAGCATACGAATTGGTGACAAAGAGGGAGAAGCCACCTCGTACGGAAACTTAGGAACTGTGTTTATATCTCTTGGTGAATATGACAAGGCTAAAGAATATCTTGAGAAAGCACTTGCCATCAAAATACAAATAGGTGACAAACAGGGAGAAGGCAGCTCGTACGGAAACTTAGGAACTCTGTTTAAATCTCTTGGTCAATATGACAAGGCTAAAGAATATCTTGAGAAAGCACTTGCCATCAGAATACAAATTGGTGACAAA